GATAGATTTAGGATCTAGCATACTACGATTTTGTGGATAAAGATGGAAAAAAATAATGCAACCAAAGACTGTGGGATCAACAAAGCTAATGAACCTTGTATGACGGAATATTTCCAGAAGAGTTTGACACAGAGTTTGAAATTTCAACACTTTAGTTGGCATCCGATTAATGAGATATGCAGCAGTGAGAACTGCATCTCCCCCCCCAAAAAAAAACTTGAGGAAGATCTCAATTTTTTCGTTCAGCAATTCCGTTTTGTTGAGGGGTGTCAACACAAGAACTTAAATGGATGATGCCATGTTTTATCAAATAAGTACCAAGAATAGAATTCATAAATTCTTTGGCATTGTCAGTTTTGAGTACTTAATAGTAGTATGAAGTTGAGTTTGAATCATAGAATGAAAGCGCTGCAAAATTCCACTCACTTCTCACTTATTTTGCATAAGAAATACCCAAGTTAATCTTGTGTGATCATCTATAAAAGATTCAAACCACTGTTTCCCTGTTATAGTGTTTATGCGTGAAGGTCTCCACACATCACTATGAATCAATGAAAAAGGTTTTGATGATTTATATGATAATCTAGAATAACTAGTCCGAGTGTGTTTAGCAAGCTGACGAGTTTCGCAACAAAAAGAACTTGGATCCTTACTTAAAAATAAGGAAGGAAACATTTTTGATAAATACACAAAATTTGGATGACCAAGACAATAGTGCCATAACATCATATCACTATCTTTATTAGATAAAGAAGCTGACTGACTATTCAAAGAAAGCAAACTGAACTTTTGGTTTGTGTTGGTGGATGAAACTTCATCACGTAGAACATATAGTTCGAAACACATCTTAGCACCACCAATCCTCTTCCCCAAGTTCAAATCCTGAAATACACAAAGATTGGAGAAAAATTTGTCACACAATGATGTTCACTAGTAAATTTACTAATTGAAAGTAAATTACAGTCTAATTTGGGCACATGGAGCACATATTTAAGAGTGAGGTCCTTAGTTATTCTGACTGAACCGGAACCCTCAACTTGAGAAAGTGATCCATTTGCTATGTTTGACGGTGTGATTTCCTTTCTTCGGGTGAAACTTAGAGAAAATTGATGCATCTCCTGTCATGTTATTTGAAGCTCCGGAGTCTAGAATCCATGATTTGTTAGAGCTTCTATTGACAAAACAAGCAACTGGTTTATTACCTCTCATAGCCAGCAGTCCAATATCCTACGTAGAGGTTTGATGAGTGGAAGGATGATTCAGAAGTTTCTCGTCGGCTTCAAATTGATAGAATTTGTGTCCATTGAATTTGCGGGCTGGTAACGAGAGAGACAACTTCATTTATTTTAAAAGAGGCAGAAAGAATTGATGAGCGTGTTTTAGAGGTTGCCTCTGAGATGGAGCCATTGTTTTCGTGATTCATGATAGACACGAGATGGGCACGATCAGAAGAGGAGTACACAAACCCTAGGACATCTAGAGCTCTGATACCATGTGAAATTTCTGAATTGCGATAAATTGTAATCTCAAAATGATAGGGTATTTATACAGCCTATTGAGGAGAGAATCTAAGACATTAAATATACAATCTACTAATCTAAATAATAGAATATCCTATTTCTAGAAAATTACATGATACTGATAATTAATACAAAATCAGATCTAAAATACATCCATAGTTGTTTTCTAAATCAGGAAATAAATCCACAAACACAATTAAAAAAATCAATTCTCTCTCTCTCTAGGGCGCCTCATCGCTAGGGTTTCGATCTTCTGCAATCCATTTCCATGAGGAGCGGCCGACTGCCGTAAGGTGGATTGTTGCTAGGCGAATTGGAGAAAGGCTGGGGGTGAGGTGCGGTTCTTCTGCTTTAGCGCCGGAGGTTTGCTTTCGAGACGCAAATTGAGTACATGGGTTCACACTACTTCGCAGGAGGCAGTGGAGACGAGGGATTTGGGATGAAGCATAGGGGCTTTCTTTCGATGGATGGTGTTGAGGTTTATTCCTTCAACCCCCGGGTCCAACACGTAAGCCCAAAGATTTCGAGTGGAGTGTGTATGAATAACTAGCCCAGCTAACAAGTAAGATGGATTAAGAAACAATAAGTAGCAAGTAAGTGATTAGGTATTATTAATCTGTTAATAACTCCCTAATACAATACTTTTCGCTAAAGGCTCGTCGGCCGATCGTCTTATCAGGCAGTAGAAGTGCTGCGGGTAAGAAGGTTATAAGCTAGAGTGCTAAGAATAGAAAGTTGCTAACCCTTTACAATGAAATAAATGCTTCTATTTATACCCACCAATGGGCAGTTGGTTATGCTGACGTGGAGGATTACGAGTGGATGGAGTCCCAACCACCAAATCTTCATCATTAAATGCGCTTCCCGCCAGAATCTGGGTTTCCCGCTTAATCCGTGACGACGTTCGTCCAGCTAGATCCGGGGTCGCCCTTACTGAAGCAGCAAGGAGCCGCTGGCTGTCCGTCTACGGACCCTTGGTAGAATTTACCTTGGCGCTGGGACTGGGCCGTCTGCTGAGATGGACCCTGGGTGGCGACGTCTGTCGCCTCCTAGCATTTGGATGACCTTCGGCCTGGGCTCTCCGTCGCTAGGCCAGGGGAGGAGACGTTCGTCTCCCGTTCCTTGGGCTGTACTCCTCTGGGGCCCAAGACGTTCGTCTAATTAGGGAGAATGGGTCAAACCCCCGTTTGGGCCATTTGCCCAACAGATGGTATCGTAAACCAATACAAACAGATGGCTATTGGCAAGGATAACGAGGAGTTGATCTTCGATGATGATGAAGGCGGAGAATCGACAACAAGCAATGGGAAGGTGTCCTTCCCTATGGTTGGCATGGTACTCACGGATCAGAAGATCAAATTTCATATATTCAAGGAGTTGATGACATCTCTGTGGATACCAGTCAAAGGTGTGTTTATTAAGGAAATTGGCGAAAAAGGTACATTTTTACTTTTTTTTATCACATCTTGGATATGAGACATGTGTTAGATGAAGGTATGTGGTTATTCGAGAGGAACTTGTTGATCCTAAAAGAATTTAAGGCGGAGGATATCCCTCTACAAATCAGTCTGAATGACACCGAATTTTCGTTTCAGGTTCATAATGCGGCATATGATTTTATGAATCTAGGATCAGCTAGGAGAATTGGTAACTATATTGGACATGACTGTCTGTTGAACTATTATGTTTTGAAGACATGATATATTCCTCCTATCTTGGACGGTTGTTGGAATTAGACCTCATATGGGCCGATCGGGCCCCGGTTTCTTTAAACCTTTTTTCCCTTTTCTTTGTATGAAATATTTAGCTTATTATAATTGCTGTATTTCACTTTATATTTTAATAATATTAGGTAAATGTTCCCCGACATTTACCTCACCCTCGTAGTGTTTCCTTGGGAAAAAAAGAAAAAAGAAAGAAAGCCAAATTAATGAAGAATGGGAGACTTATATGCGTATTAAGGTCCGTATGGATATTAGAAAACCCCTGAAAAGGAACAACCTTGAAAAAGGGGGGTATTAGTCAGTGGATGAACTTCAAGTATGAAAAACTTTCTAATTTTTTGCATTATCTGTGGGATGATTGGGAATTCTGATAAGTTTTGTTCAGTCATGTATGTGGGGGATAACATCACTTTCGATAAAACTTATGAAGTTCATCTTAGAGCTGGGAGTGAGGTGAAGACTAGTCCAACAGTAGGAAACAAGTGGCTAGTCGAAGGGTCTTCAAGTACCGGTATGGGAGTACCGCAGAGGAATGATAGTCAGGGCACATGAGACCAGGGCTGGAAGGAGTAACTACATGAATCGAAACTAGCTCTATTAAGGAAGGGAACTCGGTGAGACCAGGCTCTACATGAAATTTTGAGGAGTAAAAAAAATAGATGAAAAATTGGAGTTTCCTCCCGAAATAATGTTAACTACAAAAATAATTCCCAAAATACTGTTGAGTTAAAAATAATTTTCAAAATACTTCTGGAGTTAACCGTAGTTAAGGAAAGACGCCACTCAAAGTGATGGTTCTTCTGTGCAGTACAAAAGCCTCCACTTCAAGTGACGATTCTTGTGCCCAGTAAATACAACACCAGCTCATTCACCCCATAAAAAAAATGCTCCTTACAATACAGTCAACTACCATGCTGATATCATAGCTTAGTTTATCCAAAGTTTTATTCAATAGTCATAAATTGATTTATACTATCCGTTGAAACTAATTTCTGAGCACCATTATAATATATAGTTATATTATAATATGCGTTGCTGCTAAAAGTGTAAGATAGCTTATACGTAGTATGCAGTTATGTACTATGTAATTAATTATTAGAACGTATTTTCTCATATTAATTAATTCAGTAGTGAATATTTCAAGTATTGTGTTTGTAAATATTATACATGTACAACTTTCAATTTTTAAGACAACCTTTAAAAAAAATCTATTCATGCCCTAAAATTGTTAGGATCAAACCTGTTGACTGATGTTTGATGTTTTTGAGATGAGTGGATTGTGAGGAGCATAATTTTATTTTTGGTGAATGAGCTGGTGTTGTATTTACCGAACACAAGAGTCGTCACTTGGAGTAGTTGCTCTTGTACTGCACAGAAGAACAGCCACTTCGAGTGACGACTTTTCTTAACCCGAGTTAGCTCCAACAATATTTTAGGAATTATTTTTAATTCATCATTATTTTGAGAGTTATTTATTTGATTAGCATCATTCCAGGGAAAAACTCGAAAAGTTGATTAAAGTGATATAAAAATAGCAAAAAAATTGTTTGTACTCATCCATATACTCATTTTTATACTAACCATGTGTGTGCAAAGTTTTTTTCGTCTCTTAATCCCGTTCATAAACAAAACATGTATGTGCAAATAAAAAAATAGTTTCACAAATTAGATAAGTATATAAAGTGAATATAAGAGTGTGTACACGATCGTAAAAATAAATATGAGAAATATTTAGATAGTGTACATAAAAAATGGAACCAAATGCTCTAAACTATTCTAGCATCCGACCTGGACACCCGCTGGTACAGAAGCGCATCCTGTTCTTATATGAACTGATTGAGTCGCCTTCTGTACTGCGCAAAACTCGGAATCTCAGCTCTTGAGAAACCTCAGTCGCTCAATCATCCAAAGTTCCAACTTTAGCTCTTATCTTCTGGTTTCTTTGGAAATCTTGCTGTAATCGGTCTTAGGTAAACTCTAATTGCTATTATCTGATTTCTTGAATCCCTTATGACTTGTACTTTCTGGCGCTTGATTTCATACTCTATGTGTGCACAGTGTACGTGTGGTCGAAAGTGATGAGGTTTATCTATATCATTTCAAAACTTTTTGTGTAATGCCGAATCTTTGACCCACTTTGTACGGATCTAAGGCATTGTCCCGCACAGTGACTAAAACTGTGCGCTTTATTCTGTGGATGAAATGGAAAGATTGTCAATTGCTCATTACTCTTCATATCTGAGTTGTAGCAGTAGTATAATTAAAGGGCGGACAAGTTTTTTAGTCATTTTTTATATTTATAAGTTGCAGCGGGGACAGGGAGGATGTCAACACCGGCTAAGAAAAGGTTGATGAGGGACTTCAAGCGGTTGCAACTGGATCCTCCAGCAGGCATCAGCGGTGCTCCATATGACAACAACATAATGCTTTGGAATGCTGTTATTTTTGGGTACGGCATCTGAACTTGATTGTGTATTCGGGATATATATAGAGATAAATGATCTTATCAGTCCGGTCTCACAGGATGACAGGAATCCTGTCACGCCCCGGACCTACCGGACACGTCAACAACCCGCCGTACAGTACGGATAGTCAACCGCGGTCCAACTCATCCATACTATACAAGGCGTCTTGAATACCCTTCACAATAGTACATCCATAAACAATCACAATGTAAAACATTTAATTTAAGCAGCGGAAACATTAATATAATATCCGAGCCACACGTGGCAAACACGGGCATACAAGCCCCAAATAAATATTCAAAATAATATCCATGAGCATTATTTAGATTGTTTTCAAAACAGAAACGGAAGAAGCACGAACCACGTCTTCTTCCCTTGATCTCCCCGAAGCAACGGGTGGTGGCAGCAACTCTTCAAGTTCTACCTGAAACTGTGAGGTGGCCTCCCCCGTGAAGGGGAGGTCAGTACTTGGAAGCATTTGACAAGTACAATGACAACTATACTAAGTATAATCAATGTTTCAATTTCTTAAGACCCTCAAATAGAGTGATATTATATCGTAGGCCGTAACCCCCGGTTACCCTGTTTTCAAAATATACTTACTTTATATAAAGTCAAGTAGTCGGCCCGTGGGCCCATATTCATTTAGAATTTTCCATTTTCACTTTCCGTGACCATGAGTCACGACAACCCCATAGGGTTCCCTCGAGTCCCGATTGTATAGCAAGGGCTCGGCCCAACTACATTTCTATACAATCCTTTAACTCAATCTAATATATCTATATTTGTATGGCAAGGGCTCGGCCCAACTACGTTTCCATACCAACCATAACTTCATGGCAAGGGCTCGGCCCAACTACGTTTCCATGAAGATCACAATGCATGGCAAGGGCTCGGCCCAACTACGTTTCCATGCTAATCACGTTACATGGCAAGGGCTCGGCCCAACTACATTTCCATGTAATCCTAGAGTCCGACTCTAGTTTATTTTCATAGCTCGATTCTCAAGCAAATCCTATGCCTAGAATCAATTCACTTGGATAGCCTTTAGGCCTACCCCTAACACACCTTAGTGTTCATACAATTCGACCTTAAAGCATCTCTTAAGACTACTTAAGGCATATCTATTCACAATCCTATCTCTTAGGATTAATTCCATCATTTATTTATATAAATCTCCCGACTAGTATTTCGATACTAGTCGAATAACCTTAGAACAACCAAGTTCTAAATTCATAACCAAATAGTTTATCTCAATTGATTTTCCAATCCAAATATGATTTAATCCCAATATCAAAAATATCACTTTTATCCATTCATGAATTTCATACATGAAGTAAAAGTATATTTTATCACAATTTTCATAGTTGATTCCATTACCATACCATTTCTTTCATATAACATAATCATACACAATCTCTTACAAATTTGTATATTATGCTCTTTTCCTCATAGACAATAGTCTTCTCATTCTTAGGCATTATTAATCATTAATAATCCTTAAAAACATATTTAATTACCTTAGGTAATCTCATGAAATTAACCCAAAGATTATAAGCAATATAGTCAGCCATCCTCACCTTATGAAGTGCTGAAATAGTTGTCCTCGTTAAGCCCTCCGATCAATCCTCGTTCTAAACCGATCAAAAGCAACTTCTGGGCAGAATGATGAAAGCCGGGCGGCTTTCACGAAAGCTGGGCGGCTTTCGTGGTCTGCAACTACGAACAGCTCCCTTCAAGTGGCGGTTTCCGGCGGTTTCAACTCCTACCGATTCCACGACTCTTCTAAGTTAAATACCACCACTTTATAGCATTATATTACACTTTTTAAACGTGTAAAACCCATGGTTTAATCCACCATATGATTTCTTAAAAATCATACACAAAAACTAGCTAAAGGGAACTAGTTAAGTTCTTACCTCTCTTCTAGCTATTTTCTTCTTGGACTCCTCCTCCTCTTGCTCCCTTCAAGTTGAGCTTTGTGAGACTTACCCTAGAGCTTTCTCTCCCTCTTGGCTTTGGGTGGTTCGAATGACACAAGAGGATGGGGAAGGATTCCTCTTCAATCACTTACCTCAATCAAGGCATAGACAATGCCAAAAAAAGAGGTGTGGGTTTTGTCTCAATGAGACTTCCCATTTCCCTCATCCGCACAAGCCAATTTGTGTGGTCCCCCTCCCTATTATTTGAGTCTAATTAGTGTGTAGAATATCCCAAGTGGGTGTAGGGAGTCCCTCCCAATTATTCCTGCTATTTTTGGTAGGTTCGGCCAAAATAGCACTCGGGTTGTCCAAATATTTTTATCAACTTTTATTGGCACTTTATTGGGCTTCTATAATTTATTATGATGACCCAACTAAATATTTGGTAGTCCGGTCACATATACAGGACCCGGTAAACAATTTAATTAATCGTACATTAATTAAATATGCCAATCAATTACACGAATTTTATTCGCTAGAAAATTCGAATACATATCAAATTCCAAATTCAAGTACATCCGGGTGCGGTGTCACAAGTTCACCCCCCCTTAACGGGAATTTCGTCCCCGAAATTCACAATTGCTTACTCAAACAGAAATGCATACTGATCCTTCATTAAGGCTTCCGTTTCCCAAGTTTCTTCTTCAACTCGGTCACTTTTCCAAAGGATTTTAACCATTGGAACTCTCTTGCTCCTCAACTTCTTTACTTGCCTATCAAGTATCCTTACCGGTCGAATGGCATAGTTCAAGTCCTCACGTATTTCCACGGGTGGTTTCTCTAACACGTGAGACGGATCCGGCACATATTTCTTTAGCATAGACACGTGGAACACGTTATGTATCTTCTCCAATTCTGGAGTCAACTGCAATCGGTATGCTACGGCCCCAATTCTTTCAAGAATCACAAATGGCCCTATGTAGCGTGGGTTAAGTTTCCCTCGGCTTTGAAAACGGATGATCCCTTTCCAAGGTGAAACTTTCAGAAACACCTCATCTCCCACCTTAAACTCTAAGGCTCTCCGGCGTTTATCGGCATAGCTCTTTTGTCTATCCTGGGCTGCCTTAAGCCTATCACGAATCATCTTCACCTTTGTCTTGGTGATCTCCACCAATTCTGTGCTCTCAAGTTTGGCCATGCCAACTTCGTCCCAACACAAAGGCGTACGACATCGCCTCCCATACAATGCCTCGTATGGAGGCATGCCGATACTTGCCTGATAACTATTGTTATAGGCAAACTCAACAAGTGCTAAATGGTTGTCCCAACTTCCTTGGAACTCCAATGCACAGGCTCTCAGCATATCCTCTAAAATCTGTATAACCCTCTCGGATTGCCCATCTGTCTGGGGATGAAAAGCAGTGCTAAACTTCAATCTTGTCCCCATAGACTCTTGGAACTTCGGCCAAAATCGTGATGTGAATCGTGGATCCCTGTCGGATACAATGGTTATAGGAACCCCATGTAGCCTCACGATCTCATCCACATACAATTTGGCTAACCTCTCCAGTGCATAGGTGGTGTTGATAGGTAGAAAATGTGCACTCTTCGTGAGCCTATCAACCACAACCCATACGGCATCATAGTTCTTCACAGTCCGTGGTAGCCCTACCACGAAATCCATAGTCACGTGTTCCCATTTCCATTCTGGAATGGAAAGTGGCTGCAATAACCCCGCTGGATGCTGATGTTCTGCCTTGACTTGCTGACAAGTAAGGCATCGACTGATGTACTCGGCTATTTCCCTCTTCATACCAGACCACCAGTAACTTTCTTTCAAGTCACGATACATCTTCGTGCCCCCTGGGTGCATGGCATAAGCCGATGAATGAGCCTCCTCTAAGATGGACTTTCGGAGCTCCCCATCTGCCGGCACACACACTCGGTCACGAAATAATAAGAGACCGTCATCTCTTTCCCTGAAGTCCTCCACTGGTCCCGCTTGCATGCGTTCTCGGATCCCTATGATTTCCTCGTCAGTTTCCTGACCCTTCTTGATCTCATCAAGCAAAGTAGGTCTCACCTCAAACCGTGCCAACAAGGCACCATTGTTAGATACCTCCAGTTGGGCTCTTAATGCCCTCAAATTTGCTATCAATGCCCCAGCTGAGCTCTTCCGGCTCAAGGCATCTGCCACCACATTGGCCTTGCCTGGATGGTACTCAATCACCAGGTGGTAGTCTTTTATCAACTCCATCCACCGTCTTTGCCTCATGTTTAACTCTTTCTGAGTAAACACGTACTTCAAACTCTTGTGGTCAGTGTATATGTGGCATGTCTCCCCGTAGAGATAATGTCTCCATATCTTGAGTGCAAACACCACTGCCCCGAGCTCTAAATCATGAGTAGGATAATTTACCTCATGTTTCTTCAACTGTCGTGAAGCATAGGCAATTACCCTCCCCATTTGCATCAACACACATCCAAACCCTTGGATGCTAGCATCACTATAGACATCGTACCCCATACCCTGTTTGGGTAAGGCAAGTACCGGTGCCTCGGTCAATCTCTTCTTTAATTCCGTAAATCCCTTCTCACATTTGTCATCCCATGCAAACTTAGCTCCTTTTCGAGTGAGCTTCGTCAATGGCGATGCCAAAACGGAGAACTTCTCCACGAACTTTCTGTAGTAGCCTGCCAATCCAAGGAAACTACGAATTTCCTTGACATTCTTTGGTCTCTCCCATTCGGTAATGGCTTCTATCTTCTTGTTATCCACCGCAATTCCCGATCCCGAAACCACATGCCCGAGAAAGCCAATCTCCTTTAGCCAAAATTCACATTTAGAAAATTTGGCATAGAGTTGTTTCTCTCGTAGTGTCTCAAGAACGAGTATCAAGTGTTCCTCATGCTCTTCCTCACTCCTTGAGTAGATCAAGATGTCATCTATGAACACTATCACGAATCGGTCCAAGTATTTGTGGAATACTCGGTTCATCAAGTCCATGAATGCCGCCGGGGCGTTTGTTAACCCAAACGACATAACAAGGAACTCAAAATGT